CCTGAGAGCTGCGAAGGGCTGTACCTGTTAGCCTTGTGGTGTTCTGAACAACAATTATTAGCTGTTATGCTGACAGAAAGGGAGCTGGATTGGGTACGAGCTAATGATATGACAGTCTTAACTCCTCTGCTGACAAAACATGAAAATAACCTTTTCCTTACGTATGTTTCTGGATGGTACACAGCTGTGGCCAGCTCCATTAGGGCCCAGCTGGCCGTGATAAGAGGGCTGTGGGCCAGAAGCTGGAGAAGTCGCACACTAGCCCTGGAGTGAGTGGGAAGGGGAGTAAGGTATCTGAAGTGGAGCAGTGCTGGGGAAGGACAAAGGGAGTTGGGGAGCTCCAGCCTTTTAAGCCCTCAGGCTTCAGGCCTTGGTGAAGGCCTATGAAAAGGTACTAGGGCTGCAGAGGGGCAGCCCGGGGATAGTCAAAGGCAGCAGGTCCTAACCCCTTGCCAATGATGAGTGGCCATTACAAACACAGTCTGCCCCAGTGAGCGGGGGCTAGATGATGACTGGCAGTAGCCACTGAGGCAAAGTGGGACTAGAGGGTTGGGGGTTCCCCTGGGAGGGGAAACCCAGGATAAGGGGTTACTGCAGGGGCAGCACCCCAAGGTAAAGGGCAACAGGATCTGGCAGGGACACGGGTGCCAGCAGCAGGCGAGACACTGGCCAGTAGGAGATGCTCTGTACACTGGAGAGCTAATTCCCTAGACGACCAGCAGGAGGCGCTGTGCTGTTGAGTCATGACCTCGCTACAGCGCCATTGGATTAGAGGAGCTTTTGTGGCAAGAACCACCAGTAGAGCAGTGTATGTGTAATATAACTATGTTAAAAACTCCCACCTTAACCTATTACTTCCCAACTCATGAGGATAAAAGAACTGCCACACTGGATACCAGTAATAGTCTAAACTTTAACTTGTCTTTGTGGGTCAGTTGGACAAGTCTGTACAAGCTAATGAAGAAAAATAACCGAATTATCCAACTGACTGAAATCACACAGGCCCAGGTTCAGACACGCAGTTTGGCTATTTTACATCAGGGATCTGAAATATAAAGAGTATCTGCACAAGCAGAACAAATTATAACACACCATTGGTATGATCATTCTTAAAGGATGGGCCCCCTCTTGGTCTTCAACTTTAAAAATTGTTACACCCAATTATTCTTTTCTTTATTCTGATAAGTTTAATGTTAATTGTAATGTGTGGCATGTTCTGTTGGATGCTGAAACCACCAGCTCAGATGGTTTCAAAAAAATTATATAGCCTTGAGACAATTACATAAAGTGTGACCCATTCAATACCTCTGGATTGAAGGGTCATTTGCGAGTCAATGTAGAGCTGAAGAATGAAATTGTTTCTTTTCTTTAATTACTATTATTAATATGACTTTATTTTGTATCAAATGAATAAACCAAACTTCACTGTTCTAACATTGTAACTCCTGTTTGCCTCCCAACATTCTAAATGGTTCATTACACTTGTTTTAATAAGATTCCATATTGTAACTAAAACCCCATTTTGAAATGCTTACTCCATTTTGCAAAACCCCGCTGTAACCTCATTAACTTAGTTCAGATGGGTGAATGAGGTATGCCTGGATAATGGAATCAACCTCCAGCCGCAGCCTGCCCTGATAAAGTGAAGTGCAAACACCAACGGCTGAAGATGCAGACAACAGCCCTGACAAAGTAAGAACAGTCCACCCCCCAAAAAGAACAAAGGTACAATTGAAGCAAGATCAAAGACAGGTCTTAGTTGCACGTTTATTATTCAAGAAATCTTAATTGACACTTTTGCTGTATGACAGGATGCTTAGTCGCCATTCTTAAAATACCCATTAGACAAACACTTGATGATAAACACATTTTTGGAGAAGAGAGAGAACCAAGCCACCATTCCTATATTTTCAGGACTGTTTAAAAAACCTTTTGCAAGTGGAATTTCATGGCTATTGCATTGAAAACCTTTTTAATATTTAAAAAGAAATATTAGTCCCTTTCCACTGCATAGTAGATCATACAGTTTATTAATAAAAAAAAATATTGAATGCACATGTAACCCTTCTGCCTGTCTGAGCTGGCAGCAACAAGGGCCGGGTTCAGTATCTAGGGGTTCTGTTTCAATAACGCAATGCAAAACTGGCTCGAGCCCCCACCCAGTGATCTGGAACAATTACATACCACCCCCAGGCGCCTCTAAGAGGCAATACTTCCCCTCTTGCAAGCATGGAGTCTGAGTGTAGCAAAAGCCTTTTAATAAACGAGGGAAACAATGTGGCATTATGTTGGGGAAACACCACAATCAGGATTCCTAACACAAACCATGAGCAAAAGACCCACCCCCAAGTAAGTTTGGCAATATCCTTTCCCCCTCAGGGTCTTAAGTCCAGCAACCCAAAAAGATCACCCAAAAGTCCAACAACCAAAAAGTCTCTGTTCCTGGTCAGTGCAGCCCCAGAGTTCAAAGTTTATCTGCAGAGTTTTACCTCCCAGCCTGGGTGGAAAAGGGGGGGGATGGTGCGCCACGGGGGCATTAAGGAGCACCTTACATGGTCGGAGGCCGACTGCCCTGCCTCTCCATGGGGTTCTGCTGGGACCCTTCACCACTAGCCACTCTGCTCCATCTGCTGTCCCGTGAGCCGCTCCAGTCATCCCACAAACTGCTTTGCCCCACTTACCATCCCCCAAGCTGCTCCACTCTACTCATTGTCCCACAAACTGCTCTGGAATATAGCTTCAGGCTACCTCCCCCCCCCCCCAGCACTCAGTGATTTCAGTTTGTAATAAGGGGGAGACAGTGCTAGCACACCATTGGCCCAAAGTGAATTCAGCTCAGTAGCTTGTAATCAGATTCCTAATAGAATCAAAATTAGCTCTGATATTCCACAGTCAAGAGAGAAGGAGGTACAATTGGTGTTTCAAGCCCATCCCATTAAACACAAATACCTGTCCCCAGCCTAGGGTGACCAGACATCCCGATAAAATCGGGACTGTCACGATATTTAAGTGTTTGTCCCGATATTTAAGTGTTGTTTTTCTCTCTCCTGCTCAGCCGGCATGAGCCAGCCTCCCCCGCCGGATCCAGAAGGGGTTACTACTGGCCGCTCGGCCGGAAGTGACACCGTGGCCGGTGGGGAGCCGCCGGTTCCCCCACCCTGCTCGGTAGGACTTTGCCACAAGCCTTGCGTGCCATGGGGGCCTGTGGGGCGGGGCCGGCTGGACTCCGGTTGCTCCTGGGCATGGGGCCATAGCAGAGCTCCGCGGTAACATCACCGGCTCCCCAAGGTGTGAGGCCGCGGCAGAGCCCTGGGACGGTGAATCGCGGGGAGCTCTGGGGGGCAGACCCCGGAGAAGCCCTGTGGGAACCACGTGTCCGCTTCATGGCAGGGATGGGTCTGTCCGGGCTGCCTGAGGGTCTGGCACTGGGCTGAGCCAGTGAAGGCAGAACAGAGAGAGGCCTTGGGCCAAGCTGCTAGGACAGGTGCGGGGGAGGCCGAAGGAAACTGGGCATCCAGCCAGTGCCTGTGGCCCTGAAGAACCCCCAGCTATGCAGCCCGGGGGGTGGGGGTGTTTGCTACTCCTGGGCTGGGACGTTTGGCAGGGTAGGCAGCAGGCTCCGCTTGAGGGTGCTCAGAAGAGACGTTTGAGATTATTTTCTCTCCTGCTCCGCCGGCAGCACTCGTCTTTTTTTTGTGACAGCCCCCCCACCCATCCCGATATTTTCTTCCTCTCATCTGGTCACCCTACTTCACTCCACTGGCAGCCCCCTTCGAGAAGCCTAGCTGCTCTGCAAGCTCTGGGTGGGCTATTCCCCCTAAAGAAACCACCTGGGGCTTCTCCCCCGCCCCGCACCATTCCCCTCCCAGTTTGACACCAGATCATTGATAACTACTCTGAGCACAGTCTTTCAACCAGTCATGCACCCACCTTATAGTAATTTCATCTAGACCGATGAATTCCTTCCTACCGGTCAGAGGCTAACACTCTGGTCAGCCTCATTAGCAGGGCAGGCCGGCCAATGAAGGAGTCAGGAGTCCGTCCTCTGTGTGAGCTGGAGCTGCCTGCCAGAGAAGGGCAGAGCTAAGGGGAGAGGAGCAGCCGGAGCTGGGCTGGAGGCAGAAAGAAGCTGGACCTGGACCAGTCCTGAGCCGGATGTGGTGAGCAACTGGGCAGTGCGTGGGGGAACCCTCGGCAGAAAGCCCAGCGCAAAGAGATGCCCCCAGCCAAGAGGCCTTGCAGGCCAGACTGGGAGGGGGATCATAACCCCGATAGGAGGGGGCTGACACTGGAAAGAAGGGCCCTGCCACCTAGAGCCTGAAGATACGTGGCCACTTTCAGAGCAAGTGTCCGACCCATCACATCCCTGCAGCACAGCGAGAGCCTGGGAAGAAGGCCCGGGATGTATGAGGAGCAGACTGTGAACTGCCCTGACATTCCAGAGACGCTGGTTGTGGTTCCCCCCCACAGAGCGGGGTGACGTGTCTTCCTTTCGCCTTTCGCCATTTTTGTCCTTAATTTTTTTAATTACTTGCTGTTTAATAAATTGTGTTTGTTCTGAACTCTATGCAATGCTGAGTGGCAACACCAGGGAAGTGTCCGGAGTGAAGAGAGGACCCCAGAGTTGGGATACGACACCCTAGCCTCTGTCCTGAGTGATCACAACAAGACTGGGGGGCGAGTCCCTCAGGAATCCTGGGTCCAGCATCGTCGGTGTTTCCGGGACTAGAGTGGAAGGGGAGCCCTCGAGGTCAGGCAGGCTCTGGGTGAAGGAAGTGGGCGCAAGGATTCAGTGCCTTTTGCTATTTGATTCCGTCGGGGTGGTGTATAAGCCAGGAATGTCCCCCACAATGGTGGGACCCTTCCCCCGCTTATCACTGTGCATATATATTGGTTTGTCCTAAAGTTAATTAAGTATTTTAAGAAAAAGTGTCAGAGCGGCCACCAGCGAGAGCTGCTGGCCACACTCTGAGGCCACCAAAAATTTGTTCCTGAGAACCCCTGGGCTAGATGCTCACGATGGGCCCTTCTCACCTTAGAGCCTGTGAGTGGAACAGGAGCCGGACACAGAGATGCTGCAGTGCGATGGGTTGATCGCTAGGACCCAGGAGCAGCTGGGAGGCGGCTCTGGGGGGAGCGATCGCTGGGCTCAGGCCCGGCAGCAGGAAGTGACTCGCAGCCGCTGCGGGGACTCTGGGTCCAGGCTCCCGGCGAGATCCCCGAGCCCCGGCGGCTGGTGCTGGGAGCCCGGAGCCCTGGCTGCAGCCGGGAGAGGGGAATCTCCAGCAGGGCCCTTCCCGCTGCTCCCCAGGAGCCTCTCCCAGGGCAGAGCCCCCAGCCCGGCCAGGCCCCTTCCCTGCCCGGCCTCTGCCCCAGGGGGGCCCCGCTCGGAGGGAAGGTGAGAGAGACCCGCCCCCCAGTCACCCCCGGGCTGCAGGGGGAGGTTTGGCCCCAGGCTGCTCCCAGCGGAGCTGGCTGCGATTCCCGCCCTGGGCCCGGGAAAGCTGCCGCCAGCTCCCGGTGTGTGCGGGGCGGGGGGAGCCCGGGACAGAGACACGTGGGGAGCAGAGGGGGGTGACAGCCGGGTACAGACCCTGCCAGGCAGGGCGGAGAGGAAAACCCGGGACTAATGAGGGGCAGAGGGGATAAAAGTTCCCCCAGATGAGCTGAGCCAGCTGCAGTGGTGGAAAAAAAAACAAAAAACAACCAAGGTGGGGGAGGTAGAGGGGCGTTTTCCTCCCCCCTTCCCAGGATCTCAGCTCCCATTTCCCAGGGCCGTTGTCCTTAAAGGCCCAGTGCATCGCAGAGCCCGGACAGGGCCGCCTCCCCCCCCCCCCCCCGTAAGATGTTACTGAGCTGCTAAAGGAGACTTGATCCAGTGAAATATTTACAGACACTCCCACAAAGCTCTCACTGTCACACCTGCTTCGAGTGTTTAAAGAATCTGGGTCTCAGTTCCTGTGTCTGTGTAAAGCCGCCCAGCGCTTCTTCCGTGTGTCCCGGCCACTGTCCCTGTTCCCCTGAGTTTCACTTCTCTTGGAATCCAGTCTGGGCAGTTTCACTCCTGTACATTAGTTCCTTATAAAAACATTATTTTCATTACTCTGAGCTCTTCATCTTCAACTTCATTAGTGTTGTGCGGAGGGACGTCATTCTGCCATGGTATTTATATTTGTAATAGTAAATCATCATGGGAAATGTTAATAGTTGCGAGTAGCTTCAGCAATCACATCTCAGGGTGACACTGTAACAGTTCCTGTTTCTATTATAATGTAATTTGAGGGCAGAGTTGACTGATTTCATGGGCTGGTCTCAAAACTCATCACGTGAGTGAAGTGAACTTAATATGTTTTGTTACACCTGCCAGACTGTGTCCTCACACGTTTGTGAGCATGGCAGTCACAGACACACCAATATGACCATCCCCATGTACGACGGGTAACAGACAATGCCGTCTGTCCAAGTTACATTTCCCCGGCAGTGCCTAGTTACAAGGCAAATATCCACATGCGACCCCCTTCCTTCCTGTGTGCACACATGCTCCCAGCTTACATTGGATTTATTAAAAAACGAGAAAAACCAACGAGGAGTCCTTGTGGCACCTTAGAGACTAACACATTTATTTGGGCATAACTGTCATGATTCTAGCCCATGAAAGCTTATGCCCAAATAAATTTGTTAGTCTCTAAGAGCTTGGCTACACTTGCGAGTTAGTGCGCAATAAAGGAGCCCCATGCCCATTAGCTCACTCCCCGTCCACACTGGCAAGGCACATAGAGCGCTCTGACTCCACAGCTAGTGGCCCCTTTGATTCTGCTCTTTTTCTAGCATTTGGCTCAGAGATGCTGTTACTGGGAGGGTTTGAAGAGGCTGGTGGGGAATCGGGGTGTGACATGGACTCCAGCTCCTGTAACCTCCCCCATCGCTCCTCTCGCCCCAACAGGTTGAGGAATCACGTCCACGTTTCATGCCAGATCGGCCCATCTTCCAGGAGACAGGGAAGGGAAATGGCTGTGATGGAGCCAGCTCAGGTAGGGGATTTTCAGGGAGGGGCTGGGCAGAGGGAGGGAGAGACAGGGAGGAGACAGGGTGTGATAAACCTGCTGATTTTCTGAGTAGGCCCATTGGTGGTAGTGGGGGAGAGGGACATTCGCCCATTTCAAAAACAGGACATAACCCCCCTGCACAGGGCTGGAGCCTGAGCCCAGTAACCAGAGGCTGCTGTGAAATGCAAAGGGAAGCTGTTGGGATTCCTGTCCCTGTCTCTGGCTCAGAGCTCTGCTTCCCGTAGCAGCCTGTGCTTGGCAGGCGTGTGGGAAATGAGAAGACCCTGCCATGCTCTGTGTGCTGGGGGCGGGGATAAGGAGCTCTCACCTTCTCCCACCCCCTGAAGCCTCTTGGCTGCTCTGACGGGTAGGGGTCAGATTCTGCTACTCTGGCCCTCCCAGACCTTCGAGTTTTTTTCCTTTCCCTGTGAATAGCGGGATTGTGGCTGGAGCAGCAGATGCTGAGTGGGGGACTCTTGTTGTTTCAGTTACCAGTGACGTTCGAGGAGGTGGCTGTGTATTTCACCCAGGGGCAGGGGGCTCTGCTGGACCCCGCTCAGAGAGCCCTCTACAGGGACGTCATGCAGGAGAACTACGAGACAGTGGCCTCGCTGGGTAAGGGATTCCCGTCCCCTCGGTTATTTGAAGCCGTGGGGTCTGCGTGTCGGACTCTGGTCAGGTTCTTCCCAGGTCAGTTAGATCAGAGGCTAATGGGTTCCCTAATGCACAGGTGCTGTGAGGGAGACTTGCATCTCCGTACCCTCTCCAATGGGATACAGGTGAAAAACCTAATGGACATGCTAACTCATCCCCATCCCTCCAGGTTTCAAAGGGACAGAATTCATTCATTGTCCTGTCTGTATTGATTCCCAGTCAGACAGAGAATCCCTATTCACCTCCCTTCTTGGAAATAGCTCCAGCCATGGGGAGGGCTGTGGGCTCGGCAGGTTTAGAAATAGGCAGAGGTTTAACTCCAGAGCTGGGTGTGCGTCAGTAAGTCCCCCAGAGAGCAGAGATCCTGGGAACTCCTAGTGAGGGAGTAAAAATTCCCGTCACCTCCCCTGATGCCTGCCTCCCCGAAGGCAGCTCCGTGACCATGT